GCCCCGCCCTCCTCCCTACTCGACACTCCCAGTGGGGAGCGGCTTGCTGTTCTATGTCTGCAGTGATGACATCATCACTTAACAGGCGTTCAAGTTATGGGATGGATGTTTTCCTAACGCGCGGTCATGTTTGAGCAAACACAGCCTTTTAAACAGTACCGGGGGATTGGTTTCTTAAGGGAATCCTGCGATAAATAAAACCTTTTGAACAGAGTTCTTCGTGTTGGTGGCCTGTCTGTTTTCTTCGAATGCAGCGTACCTGTATCTCAAGGGATGGCTTAGAAATACTGATTTGTAGAAGACTCATGTTCAAAAGTATTTACTTCTAAAGACACATTGTTACTGAGGCCGAAAGAAGACTCAGTTAGCAATGAAAAGTGTCCTCGGTGACACTGCCTCGTGCTAATCTAGGTCAGGGGGAGAAGCGGGGTAACACAGGCCTTTGAAGAGAGCTCTCTCGTCTTTCTCCCTCAAACGGAGCCCGGATTTGTTACTGAGTCTTTAAATCTGATTCTCTCTGTAGATTGCTGCTAAAATTGATTCAATTCCTCACTTGAATAATTCCACACCTCTAGTGGACCCCTCAGTGTATGGATACGGAGTCCAGAAACGGCCCTTGGATGACGGAGGTAAGTTGCGGGGAAAAGTCTTTGCCTTTCAGATGGTAGCGAACCTGCCACTTAGGCCGGAGCCGCGTGTCGGCCTTTTCCACGACAGCTGCCGCCAGCGTCCTCCTGAGGAGGTGCGGTCGAGGGGACCGCCTGGGGTTGATGTTTCTCCGCGACTCTCCAGCACTTGAGCTCTTAGTCGCCTTGATGATGCAAGAGCGCTTACAGCTGGGCTCGGAGGTAAAGACGAGGCCTTTGCGCATCAGTTCGGAAGTCACTCGACTGATTCGAGAGTTTTGTGTGACGTGGCCCTTCGCGCTTCCAGCACGCGCGTGGGGGTTGAAGCTCCCACTCTTCTCCAAAGAAAAGCTAAGATTCGATGCCTGAATTTGGGAAGCCCGTGGCTACATCCTGACCTTAGAGAAAGAGAAGGTGGGGGCGGGGGAGGGTGTGACCTTGCTTCGGTCGGCTCCCTTTTTCACCGTTCCCAATTTGGACAGGCTCTCTCTGGAAGCGCCCATCTCTCATTCATTCCTGTGTTATTTGGTGGTTCGGTTCTGTACCCCACTTCAGCCCCCCAAAGAGTTTGAGACCAACGTGGAAGTGCCTGTCCCCCGGCACCTCCGCGAAGAGTACCTATCAGGTGGGTCTGTTCAGAGAACTTGGACCTCCTTGATCACATTGGGTGTCCTGCAAAGTAGGACTGGAAGAGGGAGTCTGAGGTTTACTAGGTTGTCCATGAATATGCACGCAGTGGGTCAGCCAGTGTCTGCTCTGGCCTTCTGTCGGTCTGCATGCCTACCCAGCCATGTGTATGCACTTATTTCTATGTTGTCTTATTGGGTGGAAGAAAATCAAGGTGTTCAATAGTATATACAGAGCAATTTCCTTTTCCAAAAAAGAAGCGTGTTTTGGTGTATGTAGAAAAAGTAATTTGGTGTGACTGATTTCTCCAGTGTCTTCCAAAAGGGGAGATTGCCATTGTTTTTATTTATTTATCTATTTATTTTTATTAAATGTAATTTATTGTCATATTGGTTTCCGTACAACACCCAGTGCTCATCCCAACAGGTGCCCTCCTCGGTGCCCATCAGCCATCGTTTTTAGGTGTTAAACATCTAAAGGTTACATTTGGTAACCTTTTTGGAATAATTGGATAGGTTCACGCTGGGAACTTTAATAATTTTTTTTTCGCGTTTTTATTTATTTTTTGGGACAAGAGAGGGCAGAGCATGAAGCAGGGGGGGGGGCAGAGAGAGAGAGGAAACACAGATGAGGCTCCAGGCTCCGAGCCATCAGCCCAGAGCCTGGCTGGCAGGCTTGGTGGGATGCGAGATGTCGTGACCTGGCTGAAGTCGGACAGCTTAACCATTTCGCCACCCAGAAGCATAGCAGCCTAGAACTTTATAAGGGGGCTGTGGCTTATTTTGGTGTAAAAGTTCCTTTCTGCTTAAACTTCTTTGTGTTTTTTTTTTTTTTAAGTTTATTTTGAGAAGGAGAGCATGGCGGGGGAGGAACAGAGAGAGGAGAAGGGTAATCCCAAACGAGGCTCTGCACCGTCAGCACAACTGAAGCCTCATTGGGGTTGAACTCGAACCGTGAGATCATGACCTGAGCTGAAGTCGGACACTCAACCGACTAAATACGCGGCGCCCGTGTTTTTGTTTTTTAAAGTTTACTTAATTTTGAGGAAGGAAGAAAGAACATCTTGAGGAGTGGAGAGGCAGGGAGAGGGAGAGGAAGGAATCCCAAAGCAGGCCCCACTGCCAGTGCAGAGAAATTAGCGTGGGGCTTGAACCCTAAGAGCTGTGAGATCATGACCTGAACTAAAATCAGGAGAAGGCAGCTGGACCCCAATGGCAAGCCACGGGGCACTAAGACCTGTTCTGAATATACACCCAGGCGAGTCTACCCATTGGAACTAGGTGACCATTTATTTATTTATTTATTTATTTATTTAAAATTTTTTTAACGTTTATTTATTTTTGGGACAGAAAGAGACAGAGCATGAATGGGGGGGGAGGGGCAGGAGAGAGGGAGGGAGACCTGGAGAATGGAGGCGGAGGCTCCAGGCTCTGAGGCAGAGTCAGCCCAGAGCCCGATCACGCGGGGCTGCCGAGACTCACGAACCTGTGAGGGGTCGTGACCTGAGGCTGAGGATAAGCTTAACCGACTGGGCCATCCAGTCAGCCCCCTAAGCCATTTAAAAATTTTTTTATGTTTATTTTTGAGAGAAGTCAGGCGTGAGGCGGGGGAGGGGAGGTAGGGAGGGAACCTGAACTCGAGCAGGCTCAAACCTGAACTGACAGCACAGAATGAGCCAGCGGATCTCGAATCCACAGACTCTGAGATCATGACCTGAGCCCGGGGGTCGGACTGACTCAACAGAGCTGAGCCACCCAGGCGTGACCATTTAAATGGCCAGCTCCAGCGGTCCCCTGTGATCTTGTTTGGCTGGGTGCTAGTGATTTCTGGAGCCAAATATGACTGATGGGCGTTTTCTGCAGTTTAAGCCTTGACGAAAAGCTCTGATCTTGAAGTAACCATTTTTCCCTTCTCGGGGCAATCGTGCTTAACCTCTTCTTCTTACAGGACGTCCCAAAAAAAAAACTGAGTTGTCTGGCTCTGAGCTACACGCTTGGACAGTCCAGTCTCGACCACTATTTCCAAAATCGATCAATACCTTTCGCATGCAGCTCTGCCTTGCTGCACCATGCGTGGTGGGGAAGTGCAAACTAATGTGTGCTAGAGTAGGCGATCCGCACTGTGTCCTTTTCGCGCGTGAAGCGCCGAAACGCTGCCAAATGAAACCGCATCCCTGGCAGACTTTCTTCTCCTGTTAACCAGCATACCCATTCAAAGAAACTTTACCAAAGGCTGCTGAGTTTTGTTGTTAGAGCAGGCAGGCTGGTGGGTCCAGAATCTCACTTGGATGCTGCAGCTGTATTAGGTCACTTCTTGTTTTGAGGCCGATAAGTTTTTCAGTGTCTGCCTTCTTGAGATTGAGTCCTTGGAATCAGAAAACAGACACGGTTTCTCTTCTTCTTCCTTCTGAACACGAAGCCTGCCCAGTGGTTGAACCTTCCCATGTCAGCTGTCCGTCTTACGCCTTACACTGTGTGAAGAACCAAGCTTCCCGGGCTTTTACATTGGGCAGGACGGCGATAGTTAATCCTCTTCTGCTGAGCACCTTCCAAACAACAGAATTAGGCCAATTGTTTCCTCCAGCTCAGCTCTCCTGTGGCATTTGCTGTTGAGGAGGTTAGGAACTCTGGAGTTAGGGGCAGGTTCCAGGCTGCCTTGGTGTCTGAGGGGGAGGGTGGCAGGTCACTGGGCTACCTTCTCTTGGATAATGAGTTGGTGGCAGACAGGACCGTCAGGAAGGTGATGCGTGGTGACGGTGCTTTCTCGAAAAGTCATGGCTGTACCATCACAATGCGGCAAAGTGTGGGAGAGCGAAACTGAACACCGAGCAGGGAATTGCGCGCTTTTTTTTTTTTTGAAGCAGCAAAGATTTCCGGGGCTTTGGTTTTTGTTTGTTTGGTTTTGGCGGTGCACTTTTCTTTTTTTTGGACAGAAGAGAACCGCAAATGACAGGACAGGACTCGGATCTGGACAGGCAGCAGGCAGGCGGCAGACATGACAGCCTGTGGCCTTGGCATTTCAGTTGGGGTTGGTTGGTTCAGTTAGGATTGGTTTGGTTGGGATGGGGACATAACTTTGCAGTAAAAAAAAAAAAAAAAAATCATGGCCCAGGCAAACAGGCAAAAACTTTGCAAGCAGCTTTTGAAATGTCTTTGACGCCAGAAAAAAAAAAATTAAGTTCCTTGTAGTGATATATATATATAACCATGATGGCCAGTGGCCATGCAGCCTTGAAAGCTGTCGGTCACCTGAACATCACCTTCCTTGGCCAGGTCCTGTTCATTTGCAGACTCATTTATCAAGAGAGAAAGGGAGCAGCCTAGTGACCTTGCCACCCTCCTCAGAAGGAGCAATCACCGGTGCGTGCTCTGAACCTGCCCCAACTCCCAGAGTTCATACAACAACAGCAAATGCCACAGGTGGAAGTGAGCTGGAGAAAACAATTGGCCCTAATTCTGTTGTTTGGAAGGTGTAACCCAGAAGAGGATAACTATCAAGCCGTCCTGCCCAATGTAAAAGCCGAGAGAGTTTCGGTTCTTCACACACAGTGTGTGTTACGTAAGACAATAGCTGGCCCGATGCAGGAAGGTTCGTCCTGGCTGAGCTTCGTGTTCAGAAGGAAGAAGAAACCGTGTTCGTTTCTGTTCCAAGGACAGAGCAGACGGAAAACTTATGGATCCTCAAAACAAGTGACCTACACACAAGCGGCAGCATCTGAGTGAGATTCTGGACTCACCAGCTGCACCTGCCTGCTCTTAGTCAACAAACTCAGCAGCCTTTACAATTTCTTTGAAATGGGTATGCTGGCAGTTATGGAAAAGAAAGGATCTGCCAGGGAGACAGTGGTTTCATTTGCCAAATACCTGAGAGGGAAACTTTAAAAGCAAGGACACAGTGACACCACCTACTCGCTTTTTGCACTTCCCCACCTACGTGTGGGTGCAGGCAAACAGGCCGGTGAAAGGTATTGATGGTCGTGATTTCTGGAAACAGTGGGCGGAGACTGGTTGTCCGTACCCGGAAGTGTGCTCAGGAACCCGACATCAGTTTTGTATTGGCGTCCTGCTGAGTTAAACAGTGCCTGAAGGGAGAAAATGGTTACCATCAGAGCTTTTTCACTGAAGGACTGCAGAAAAGCATATCAATTATTTGATTAAATGCTAACTTTCCAGCCAAACAAGATCACAGAGAGGTGCGTTTGGGCCGACCATTTAAAATAGTCACCCGAGCTGGCGCCTGGAATTAAGCTCAATTGATTTGGCGTGCGACTTGACGGCTCAGGTCATGATCTACGCGGTTCGGTAGTTAGAGACCCATGCAGCTCTGTGTCAGTTCAGAGCCTGGAGCCTGCCGAGTCTGTGTCTCCCTCTCCCTGC